GATATGCATGTAAGTAAAAGTATTATGGATAATGGAAGCAAAGTTTCTTCTCACTGTCAGAGAAGGGAGGTACAAATATGGAAAGGAAGAAACAAAAATGAAAACTGGAATATTGGAATGGAATTGTAGGTATCCTTATGAACTCAGGGTATGTTCGTTCAGGTTCTTTAAAAAGTTGATGGCAACATGGGATTAGAAGTGAAAGAGAGTTATTGGGGGAAACTTCTGAGGGAAAATGAAAGGGAGGAGGCTGGGTGTGCTGTCAGACTGCAGCACAGGCCTACCTCTGTGGAGAAGAGAGGAAGGTGGAACTGAAAGAGTGTGAGATGTGGGCTGTTCTAAGAGTTTCTTTTTCTGCAAGGCAGATAAAGAGAGTCCCCAAGCTACAGTTGCCCATCAGAAGAATCCCACATCTCTCAGCAATAGGCACACCATAGTGCTCAGTCAGTGGCTAGGAGCAGCTGGTGGGCAGTATAGCCTTGGCCAAACCGGTGATTTCAGAGCACAGCAGCTGGGATGGACTGTCAGTCAATTTTGCTTCCTGCAGTTAGAGATCCGAGAAGCACATTTTCAGGACTGCCACACATGGTTTTCAATAGTCAGAAATGGAGGAATGAAAGTATAGAAATAAAGATGTACATGTGGGTTATTTAGATAAATGGCTAATGCAGAGCTGCAAAAAATAGTACCAGATAAGCCAAGAACATGTTGTTATACCAGGAAGAAGGGAAGTGCTCAAAGAATGATGGGGAACACGTCCACAGAAGCCAGAAACCAGCTTGAGCTGGCTCCTGGTGGCCAAATTGGGAACATTTGCAGCATCAGAATAAATGATAGTAGTGGATTATGACCCTTTGAATACAGTGATACTCCATGACATTATACTGATAGAAGTAAAGAAATGAATATCATGGGAGTCTGAGAGTCGAAAATTACCATTCAAAGTGTCTCCTCACAAAATTCCCATTCATTACAAAGAGGAAAAGAGTAACTTTACCATGGAGAAGGCTGGTAGACATTAAGTGATCAGAGTTAACATTATTACTAAGTTGTACGTCATTTCATTGGAGGCCAGGAGAACAGTACAGCATCATTTCCATGATATTCCTGCCGAAGTGCCTAACTTGCATTTTATTGCAAAGATACATCAGACAAACTACAATAACCAGCTTGCACTCTTGAAAAGTGTCAAGGCCATGGCAGTCTAAAAGATGAGGAACCATTCCAGACTGAGGAAGTGTGACATCTAGATGCAATACTTGATTCTGAACTAGATCCTGTTGGCCACAGGCACTCTCTCGGTGCAATCGGCACAATTTGAGTAGTGTTTGTGAATTAGATGGTAGTAATGTGTGCATATTGATTTCCTGGTTTGGTTCGTTATTTTTGGATTATGTAGGGAAATACTCTGGTTTGTAGGAAATGTACTCTAACAGTTTTTCAGGTGCTGTATAACAGTTTGGTTACTTACTCTCAAAAGACTCAAAGAAGGGATATCATGTTCTTTGTTACAGTATGTGTATGTTTAGCTGGAAGTTTTCAACACACATACACACTATTAGGCCAGATAATTGTCTACAATCAACTGGATTTCTTAAATACATTGCTTCCAATCCTGGGATGGGGGAAGGCAGGGAAAAATGTGATCAGACAGTTACAGCCTACTGTAATTGAAGTCTGCTCTTTTAAGAATTCTATTGTCATGTACGGGCATTAGAAAACCTTTTCTCTATGTTGGCAGAATGTAGTGCTCCCTGGTGTTGAAGGTATCTTATAATGGGAAAGTGTGAGATTTTTGCAGCCTACTTGCTGTGAAAACCAGTGAGCCAGAAAGATGTCAATTGGAGGGGAAGTCTTATGAGAGAGCCTGTATGTGAGACCTAATGTTGCTTGTGTTTGTTTCAGGAACACCTGATCATGCCTAATAGAAACTCTACTTTTAACAGAGCCTAAATTTCTCTTTCAGTTAAGAGAAACCTTTCAATCCTAACACTAATTCTCTTTGTGTTTCTAGCCAGCACAGACAGAGATTATTTCCTCTTAGACTTCCAAGGCTCTTAGGTCCTTTTTTGTATGCTGATTGTGAGTTATCCATTCGAGCCAGACATGTGTAATTGGAGCAGAATTACTGATACACTCAAGAAAGCAGAACTTAAAAATTTGTCTAAAGTAGCATAATGTCATGGCATATAATTTAATGTTCTTTCTTCTTACTGAGCAACTTATCAATACACCAATGTCGGGTTCTGGGCCATATTTGGCTCGTGGATTGGGGGTGCAAGCTCCTGACCTTTCATTCACAGGCAAAAGAAAGGAATGAGAGAGTCAAGTACATGGATCTAGGCTAATACCATTTTCTCTCTCTCCCTTTCATTTTCTTTTAATTTGAGTCTCAGATAATGGGGAAGAGAAAGACAAAAGCTGGTAAGGCATGTAGAAAGCTTTTGTCCTTAATTCTATACTGGGCAGTCTTCGCTAATTTATGCTTATGATGATGTTCCAGTGCTGTGTTTCCATGATGATTAGGTGTTTTTCTGATACTTTATGGAGAATCTTAAATTTTTCAGGATGTATTGAAATTAAAAGAGTGTTTTATAACTTGGTCACATTAAAAAAATTAAAGTAAATAATTTCATTCAGAAAATATACACTGTCTACTTTATGCCAAGAATTGTACTATTTATTCTACTTGGCTACAGAGCAAGAACAATGCAGCCCTTGCCCTCCCAGCCCTTGTAAGGTAGAAGGAAAGATAGGAAATGAATTAGTAATTGTAATACGGTGGAGTGAGTTACCATGGGGGAGGAGAGCACACACCAAGAAGAAAATACATGCGATGTATTCTCACATGTCTGCATAGGAGTAAATACCCAGTAGTGACAGTTCTTATTATTACATGTTTTTTCTCTCTTCTGCCAAGCACTAGCTCCACAACTGTTCCTTCAGGAGAAATCTGTAATTAGGGATAGGAAGCTAAGAGTACATGGCTGACATTCTAAGTTTTCCAGAGACCAGGGAGGGTGGCACTGGGCATTTTTGTTGGAAATTGAGGCCTTAACTGGTTTGTTGACATCTGTTGGCAGGACACAGCTTGCAGAAACTATGCAGGATAGGGAAGGATTGTGCTTGGTTTTCTGCGGGCCACGCAGGTCCGATTCTGTGAATTGATTTGATCAGCATTAATAGGTGGGTTGTTAAACATCGGTGCTGTTTTCCTTTGTTTTCTCTAATTTTTCATACGGAGGCTTATAGGTGTGAATTTTCCCTTGTCTGCCCTGTCATTCCAACTTTCTCCTCCAGACCTCATGTATTGACTGTAATATGTCAGTGTGCAGTAATTCAAAATGCAGTAATAAATATGTCTTTGTTCTTGTGGCATTTGAAATCACTAAGAATCCCCACCTGTCACAATTGGCATTGTCCCCCACTCTTCTCTCTGGCTTCTTAGGGTGGGGAGCTTCCCTCCTGCCCTGGGGGGCTTCTTGGTGACACCCTTAGTTAAATTCTGACCACGTATCAATATATGCAGCTGCTGATTTGGGGCTGTCGGCATTCTCCATCTGCCAAACCCAGCTCTGTCGTAAGGACAGTGTTTGCCAGCACGCCTGTGCGGTGACTCAGGAGACAGGGTGGCCAGCAAAGCAGCCTCTTTGTGGGAGTGGATTTTGAGAAGTGCTAATTCCGTGGCAGTTTGGAGATATTAATATCGTGCTGGCAGTAGATAAACAGGCAACAGAGGGGGGCAGAATGAGAAGAGAACCAGCCGTGGCGTCTTTTCCTCCTTGTTCTACCCGCACGACATAGTTTTTTCTTGTTTTTTAAAAAAAGTAAATCCCTGGCTTTTCATGGAGAGAACCCTGAAGTGGTTTAAGCATGCACATAGACTAGTGAACAGAGTCTGAGATGCTAAGAACACTAGTTTGTGAAGAGTTAGGCACGTTCACAAACAACACTAAATCATACATGTAGACGGTAGCCTGTTGCTTACTACACCTCCTCCCTAAGGGCTCTCAGAGGGTCTGAGGGGACCTTTGGTATAATTGTGATAGTTGCACGACCAGCTCTCCCAGTAATGTCAGGCCTTGCTACAGGTTATTTTTGAAAATTTGTTTTTGCTTCACATTGAAAGTTCGTTTCCAGGTTGGGGAGGAACCAGTCTGAGAGTCATTTCCAGGGCGCTCTTTTCTATCTAGTACATGGGGCCATGTAGAGCTCCACCTCTTTCTTAGAAGAAAAAGAAAAATTGAACGTATCTGAGAATTGCTTTAAGCAGGATTCTTTTCTGAATATTCTATAGTCCTCAAAGTGCTATTTGTTGTATGGTTCCAAAGCTGGTCATCTCAGATAAAATGCTTTTTACTTTGTCCCCCTAGCTCGTGCCATTTATCACGCAGAACTGCCATCCCTCCACTGTACCTCCCCCGCCCCTGCCCCAGGGCATCCATCCATAGCCTGGCCATGTACCAGCCCCTGGTGTGGGTGTGGGTGGGAGAGCCACTGTCAGGAGTTGGGCTGAGAAGAGAAGCACTTTGGCTAAACCAAAGTGTTTCCACTGTTGCCAACCTGGAAAAAGACATTTTCTAGTTAAAGTCTAGACAAGAAGGGAAATTTGAAGAATTTAGGTCATGCTTTTATGTGTTTTGTTTTTTATGTGGTATTTTAGAACAGACTTTTCTTGAGGGTAGTGGCTCGTTTATAACATCCTGTAAATAGCCCTGCCTATCGTGGGTTTTTTAAAAGATATTTTCGGCTAGTTCTTATGTACGGATTGATAGAGCATCTGACTGTAGTAACCAAAAAAATGCTGAGTTAGGGAACATTATTTTTCCACCTTTTATTTGGATTTCGAGCTTAGCAACTCATTGTTCTTGAAATCTTTGACATCTCCCTCCCTCCCTCTGTCAGGATGCGTTAAGACCTCCAGGTGCTGACTTATTATTTCTGTTGACTGAGCCCCATATGTACCTCTGGTGCTCACTGACCTATCTTTTCTATTGCAGAAACATTGCTGAGGCCCTTGTCAGCAAAGGTCTGGCCACGGTGATCAGATACCGGCAGGATGACGACCAGCGATCCTCTCACTATGATGAGCTGCTTGCTGCAGAGGCCAGGTGAGACATCTAATGATTAAAGTGGGACCCACAGCCCCACTTTCTTCTTTCCTACCTTTCTCCAAGCAAAATATGATGTAAAACAGCATGCTGAGAAAGCTTGTATCCTTTTATTATTCCAGTTTTCCCCCATCAAAAGAAAAGGAGCTCACACTGAACTTGCTATCTATCCTTGATAAGTGCACTTGGGTCTCCGCTTTTTAAAATCTGCAAAATAGGCATATGTTAGATAAGATTTTCCTAGATATGATAAAATGAATCTGAGATGAGAAAATACTGTGTGAGTGTTTACCCTCACCATCCTGTTGTTCTGGGGACTAACAGTGAAGCCCTGCATATGTGTGCATGATATCACCTCAGGGTCTTACCTCCAGAGGTCTCTGCTCCCTAGCCCACTGCATTTATCACCTCTAGACCTTTCATCATGTACACAGGAAATGGAAACATTATTAGGAAATGAGTTTTAGTTTCGCACTTCTGATAGCTGGCAGGAAAGCATTTGAGAAGCCCTGTGACATTTTACTTTTGTCCTTCATCCCTGTGGCCGGTTGCCCTAAGGACATGCACACTGCTCAGCAGTATTTCTTAACTGGTGACATTCAAGGCTCTTCTCTGCAGACTTCTGTCACTGGGTGCTGCTCCTACCCGAGTGATCCCCAGACTTCAGGAAACAGCAAGAACTAAGCTACTGTTGTGGAACTGACTTGGATAGCTCAGCAGACTGCTTGTACTTAACCAGAATATATCCATTGTTTCAACCAGTTGCAGGGGCTTGCCTCACTCAGCCACTTTTCTGTGACCTAGGACTGACCTCATTCCAGAATTTTGGTAATTGCCAGTTTATGCTCCATAGTAAGAGGAGGGATGAGTTTGGGCACATGTTATCTATACTTTGCACTTTGTCACTGAGATCACTTCCCCTGTTCTTTGGCCCAGAACATTGCCCTGGTAGGTGACATTTACCTCTAACACCATGTCACATCCTGATGGATAGAACATCTGTGGAATGTCACACAGAATGTCAGCTAAGGAATCAGTCTGTCAGGCTGCTGGGGCTTTTTCGATTCTTTTTTGTAGGCTTTTCCTGGTAAGCCCTAAGACCTAATTCTTAACCACAAAGATTTCAGTGAAAAGACCAGTGTCTTTGGTTGTTTAAGGTTCCTTAATTGCCAGAAAAAAATATATCTAGCCCATAGTTAGTGCTTCTCCTTAGGCTTCCTGTCTGTTCCTTCTGCCCGTGCCTGTATTATCACTAATCTTACTAGGTTGAAAGAAGCCATAGTGGGAAATGTGGCTTCACATTTCTGTGTGCTATTTGATGATCTAGCTACTCAAGAAAATGGACAAGGATTAGACTGCATTCAGCGGGACTCAGATTGGGCCCGTGCTGGGTGGGCACAGCGTGATCTGGTGGGAACTTGAAAACTGGGTTTTGCATGCCCAGAATAGCAGGAGCACTTCCACGATACAGTGGGATCTGGAGTTTTATTTTCTGCCCTGGGCTCACTCTGCTATGAGTGAATATTTAAGTTTGACAGGCAGGTAAGCATGAAAATAATTTCCTTAGCTGCTCTGGAAAGTGAGGCCATAACAAGCTCTTAGTAAGCTGTGGGAAGTAGTGATGTGGTGCTATAGTGTTTAACAAGTATGCATAGATAGGGAGATTTTTCAGTTTTAGGTATAAAAAGAAAACAGCCTTTTTAGTACTCGATTTGAGCTGCAGAAATGGAACAACATGCTTGCTTACTAAAGCAGTGAGCTGCCCAGAGATAATTGTATGAGCCATGGCTTTCAGTCTGATGGTGGGAAAACTGGCTTTGGGGTTACTGTGCTGTTGCAGGTTGAGTGAATGGAAAGAAATTAACCACTTCCCTCAGCCTGTGAGACATTGCCATAGGGCACTGCTGGCCTCATAAAGAATTAGGAGAAATGGCCCGCAGGAACTGTGAGGGAGTTTTCCTCTGGAGCAGTAGCGTTGGCGCTCCCAGCGTGGCGGCCCAGTGCTGTCTCCCGATGCTAACCCCCAGCCCAGTCAATCAGGTCCAAGAATGACAACAGCACCTGCTGGTTGTGTACCATTAAAAAATATTTTTGAGGCAGAATGTATCTTTTTTAAAAAATGATACTCATACTCACTTCAGGCCCAGCTATTTTCTGACATTGCTTTTATTTTTGTTTGCCTTCCCCCAAGAAACACGCCTCATGTGCCCTTAGCATTCTTGCTTGCTTCTGTTCGTTACAGCAGGTCACAGTGCTTTACTGCATGCTACTTCTGCCCCTTATTCTGCCTATCTATTGAATATCATCTGAATTTAGGGTTGTTTTCCCCTAGATAGATTAGCTGGATTTTTTCCAGTTGAACTCTGCTCTGTTATTTTCTGCCCCTGTCAGTGCTATTCTCCCATGTCCACTCAGGGTCCTCCACAGATCTCATTAGCAAGTTGTTTACTCTTTTCCTGGGCCTGGAATAGAACCCCCCTGAACAAAAATGGCTTTGGGGTGGGTCCCAAGTCTCTCACTGCATGGACTGTCACTTAACTGTCTTTTGTTTGTCATCCTTCAGTGACTTTTTAATCTTCAGTGATTGTGTACTGTACCAAGCCAACTTGATTTAATTTCCTAAGTATAGGCACTGTATCTAATACTGTAGAGAAGGCCAAATTAATAACACCTGCTGCATTCACAGTGGTTATTCATTCCTCAACTCAGTAGGTAAATAAGTGGGTGATGGTAATGGAGTGAGGCCAGCATTTTCTTTAGTCCTTCCCACAAGAGTGTTGATTCCAACAGATTTCTTTGTCCCTGACCCCTGGATTCATTCATGCTTTCCTCTCTGGTTATCATAGTGATATCTGCAGTGGCGCACAGAGCTCTGCCATTGACTTTGCTTTCCAGAGAATGGCTGGCCATTACTCCTTATAGAGAAACACGGTAAGCTCTGGGGAAAGGGCAGGCGTTAACTCGTCTGACCCCTCGGGTCAGCACAGCTGCCTGCCCAAGAGTCGATGAGCTCTTTTAGGGCTCTGCATCTTCTGCAAGGGGGTGTGATCTGCCGGAGTTTCTCAGATCACCTGATTGGCTCTCAGAGGTGATGTGTTCTGCACTCACTGAGAAAGCAGGTGAGACAAAGAGGAAAAAGAGTATCAATCTGTCGTTTGCTTACAGCTTTCAAGTATATCTGCCTGCCTGCCAGAAACCAGACTGTACCTCCTCAGCAACCCTGTTCAGTGCACTGACTCTTCAAGCCTCCTTCATTCAGATGCTTATCTGCCTTTGGGAAACCCTCATTGTATCTTACATACATGGCATATTTAGAGGAAGGCATGTCTTTTTTGTTTAAAGGATAAATAAATCCCTAATTGCCAACAGGTGACCTTCCACTCCAGTTCAGTTGTCTGTCATCCCCTGCTTCCTCCCTCATTACCTTGTGTCCCCAAAAGATAAGGTTTTGGCCATTTTGTGTGTACTGTCTGGCCTTGCTTCTCTTATGGGTGCCATTGAAAAGCCCTTGAATTTTGTCCCAGGGTTCGGAGAGCTCCAGTGAGTGTATTCCATATGAGCACAAAAAAGACCTTAGGTGCAGCTGACTCACACTTCCCAGTGACACTCCTGAACTTGGTTGCCCCTTGCAGGGGCTTCTTTGAGAGTGTGCCACATCGTTCCTTTACTGCACCGCCCTAGTTTTTCATCCCCACATTGACCTTCCAACATTTCCAATTCTCATTTTACTTCATTGTTTTTCAATCAGCTGGCCCCCGCTGCATGAGTATCTTGGTGAGAGTTTCAGGCTTAAGGTAGGGCTTGTGGGTACTTCAGAGAATCTCTCACATCCTTCTGAGGGATTTCTGTGTTACAATTGGGACTCCTTATTTTCTGAACTATAAAATGATGTCTCATATGCTCTGTCCTATGTATGTATTTGGTGTAATGTATCCAGTCTACTTTTAAACAGGCCAGAATCTGAATTTCTGTAGCACTTTATAAGTCTTCCAGGTAGGTTTTGCTTAGCTTGCTATGGGCACTGAAGATGAGCTGGTAATGCTCGGAGTCAGATTAAAGCCTGCCTGTGTACCTTGTTTTCCTTGGGCATCCAGATCGGGAGGAAATACTCTCTGTGCCTTCTAAAGCTACCAATAACTTTAAAAATGTAGTATTTTAATATTTCCTAGAAACTGGTAGAATCTATAGTTCATTGCAAGAAAACACAGAACTTAGTTCAGAAGTTGGGGCTTTATTCCTTTAAGCATCTTTTAATTCTAAGATTCTGGGGTTTCAAGATACAATGTATATGTTCAGAAAAGCAGTTGATGCCCAACTTGACTGTGGGAAAGCAACTGTAGTGAATGAACAGATTTAAGTGAGTTTAGATTCATTATGGCCATACGTAGTGAGGTTAGGGTTATCTTGGGAAAATAGAAAAGGGCAAGCACTTGCTTATCTTTTCCCATGCCTTCGTTTTTTTGCCCAGCACACTGCAGCTTCGGGCAGTGGTGCTGGCGTCCTCTATCTCTGAGCAGAAAGCATGAGCCCATCTCGATCTCAGCTTGGGCTCAGCTGCGTGTCTTCCTGGTTTCCCCACAGGGACTCTCTTTTCTGATTGAGCAAACCTTGTAACATCTCCTTTCCTTAAAAACACAAACAACTGGTACTCCTGCCTTGCTGACTTCTGCATCTCCCATCTCCAAACCCCATAAACACCAGTCCTTATTTAAAATCCTACCAAATTCCCCTTCCTTTTTCCCAGTGTGGTTAGTGGCACCTTACCTATTGCAGAATTCTCTCTGCTCACACCTTGAAGAAATCTTGTGCTGGCATTTCCATCTTAGACTGTGATTAGAAGGTATAAACTTGTTGGTACCTCTTTCCTAGGCCAACATCAGTAGCCATTATTAAGAGAGAAATTTTTAAGTAACAAATCTCCTTTGTTGCTGCAGTTCCTGGGGGCCATGTTCAGCTTACAAATTCCCATGCATTTGTAGCAGTGAATTGTAAATGTATTT